GGATAAAATTACAATGGTTCAAAAAATACTTTCGTATGCTGAAAACCGATCTTGGAAGATGTTAATTTGGAAGAGTAAGGAAGCATAGTAAAAGTAATAAGAAGGCAGTTTGTAGTTAAAGTAAATTGCTCAAAAGAAATGCAAACCAGATTTTTATAGTGGTTCAATCGTCGTGACTTACATCCACTCCATCGATTCCTCTTCCATCGAGGCCACCGGCATCCACTATCAGTCTTCCTTCAATGGGAGAAGACCAACTACGCTTTTACAACCCTCTTCTCCTTTTCACAGGTTTAGGAGACAACCTTTTACAAGCACACACTCCTCTCTAAACAGAATTCTAAATTTAAGCTAGAGGAGGGGATCTCTCAAGTAATTTCTATAGCGTTTTCTCTCTTTTAAGTTCTCTGTGCTTGTATGTATTAACTAGGGATGAGAGGAGTATTTATAGGCCTCAAGTTGATTCAAACATGGAGCCTAAAAAGATATCATCTTGGGTTTCCCAAGTCTTGGCGGTACCACCGCTTGTAGCACGACACTGGGTAGTACCATCGCCTGACACTGACACTGGGCAGTACCACCGCCTAGTCTGATGGCACCATCGCCTGACACAGTCTCGGAGACTGTGCCACAACGATGCCACCTATTGGGTCACTGTTTGGGCCTTTCACTTGGCCCAACATAGTCTATACATGGGCCCAATTGGCCCCTAATTGGGTTGGCCAAATTCCAATCCTAATTATGTGCTAACTACGAAATTTAAGGCATACACTAGCAAATCCGGTCCGGTTAGTCTAGGTTTCTTCTAGTGAGCTTCCGATGATCTTTCGGTGAACTTCCGATGATCTCTCAGCAATGTTCCGGCGGACACTCGGCAAGCTCCTAGACTTCATGATGATCTTCTTAGTTAGTTCTGACGAGCTTCTTCGGCAAGCTCCTAGACTTCTGGATCAATTTTGGTAGAACTTCCGATGAATGTCTGGAATTTCGACGAATTCTCGAACTCCCAACGAAGTTTTGTTCTTGACTCCGGGACTTTATTTTGCTTTATGCCTTGATCACTATCGTTGTTAATCCTGCACAAATAAAACCTACTTCGATCTAGACAATTATTACAAAGCTTTAATCATATTGTCCGGCATGTCATTGGTTCATTGACGCTTCATTCAATTTTTCGACGCATCGTCCTCTCTTGTGGCCTATTACCCAATTGGCCAGTTGACCTCCGTAACTATAATGTCTTTAGTATAATTTCCGCTCTTCTTGGCTCGATGCCCGAACTCATGGCCTAAAGCCTTCTGTCGATATGTCGACCAATCCTCTAGCTCGACGTCCAATCTTCTAACATGTTCCACTCCGACCCAACATGATTCTTCCTGCTTTTAATTATCTCTCCCTGATCAAAGCTTCCTACGTCACTCAAAACGTAGATCAGATAAACACTATCAATTGGTTTCATTATCAAAATCTGAGATTCAACACCCTCATCACAAGGAAAAAGTATAATTCTTATCGTGGTTGATCGCATTACAAAGTATGCTCACTTTTGCGATGTTCGTAATCCCTACACTGCTTCTAGTATTGCTCGAATCTTTATGAAAAATATTATAAAATTACATGGGATGCTGAGATCTATTGTAAGTGATCGTGATAGGGCCTTCATAAGCAGATTTTGGATAGAGTTATTCTAAATATAGGGCACTAAATTGAAAATGAGTAAAGCGTATCACCCATAAATCGATGGCCAGACTAAAGTGGTGAACAGGTGCTTAGAGACATACCTCAGATGCTTCACTAGTGACCGGCCAAAAGAGTGGACAAAGTGGCTTCCCTAGGCTGAGTGGTGGTATAATACAACTTATTATTCATCCATAAAATGTACTCCCTGTGAGACTATGTATGGTCAACCTCCCCCTGTGATGCCAAAATATGTGTTGGGCACCTCTAAAGTAGAATAATTAGATAGGGAACTACAGGAGAGAGATAAAATGCTGAAGTTACTAAAAGATAATCTCACTACAGCACAAGGAAGGACGAAACAATAATATGATCAACACAAAGGTGAAAGAGATTTTTCAATAGGAGATTGGGTCTTTCAACGGCTCCAACCATACAAACAAACATCAATCTAGACCAGAGCATCTATGAAGCTTTCACCTTGGTTCTATAGACCCTACCTAATTTTGGAGCACATTGGAGCGGTAGCATACAGAGTGAACTTATCCGCTAGCTCCCGAATCCATCCAGTCTTCCATGTGTCATGTTTAAAGCTCAAGCTGGGATAAAACGGGACAGCCCAAAGCCATCTACCAAATATGACTACCCAAGGAGAATTCCAAACCCAACCGAGTGCCTTTATTGATCGACGGATCATGACTCGATGACAATGACCCACTACTGAAGTGCTAATATAGTGGGTGAACCTACTAGCAGAAGATGTCAGTTGGGAGAACTATGATGACTTGAAGATCAAATTCTCAAAATTCATGGATCATCAGCCTCAAGGACAAGGCTAATTTGAGGAGGGCGGGTATGTTAGGACTCTAGCTAGGAGAGTCCTAATTGAATTTTATTGAAAGGAGCATTCATGTAAAACCTACCTAGCCGACCCCTATTAAAGGGGTGAAGAGGCCAGCTAGGGTAAGGGTTAGTTGGGAGGTTGCTTCTTAGAGTAGGAGTCTTATTAGGAGTTAGTTAGAAGTAGGAGTCTTGAGTAGGAGTCCTATTAGGAGTTGGGGTTTAGAAGCCCTATAAATAGTCATGTATTCATCCTCTTTTCACAAGGAATAGATGAATCTTTTTAGCAGCCTTTGAGCAGCAACTTGGAGGAAGGAACCCCTATAGAGTTCAAAGGAAGCTGATGTTGAATCACGGATTTTGATGATGAAGTCAATTGTCATTTGTTATCTAATCTATATATTGAGATAAGTGTGCAGGATTAACTACGATGAAAGTAAGACATGCAGCAGGAGTTGCACCGGAGTCAAGACAATGATCACGTTGGGAGTTCGAGAGTTCGACGGAAGTTCGGACAGTCGTCGGAGGTTCTACGGGAACAAATCCGAGAAGTCCATGAGCTTGCCAAAGAAGCTCGTCAGAACTCACCAAGTGGATCGTCATAAGTCCAGGAGTTTGCCGGAAGTCCGCAGGAGCATCACCGAGGGTTCATCGGATGATCGACGGAAGTTCGTCGGAAGCTCGTCGGAAGAAGCGATTGACGCACCGGAGCAAGTTGCAGTAAATGTCTTAGGGAATATCGTAGTTAGCACAATGATTAAGTTGGAAATGAGAGGTGATACCATTAACTTAATCTTGGGGCAATTGGGCCCCTGAAAAATCCAAATTGGGCCGAATGGATCAACACATTCGGACCCTGATTTCTGCCAGGCAGTTGAACCACCCAAGGTAGGAGGTTGCACCGCCTGGGCTCAGTCTCCGAGCGAGACTGGGAGGTGCAACCGCTCCAGCTAGGCGGTGGCACTGCTTGGGCTCAGTCTCCGAGCACTGGTTGAGCGGTGCAACCACCTCAGTCAGGAGGTTGCACCGCTTGAGATCGGTCTTCGAGCTCTGGCAGGAGGTGCAACCGCCCCTGACAGGAGGTGGCACCGCCCAGAGGCTCTGTCTTCGAGCTCTGCCAGGCGGTGCAACCGCTCCAGTCAGGAGATGCAACCGCCTGATCCCGGAATTCCGGGAATTGATAGTTTTGAGCTCTAAATTTGAACTGGGTTG